AAAAAAAAAAAAGAAAGTAGAGTTCTCCCATCCCTCTCTCCTGTCTCCTGCAGTTGTTCCTATTACAAGCATCCTGTGTTAGTGTGGAACATTTTTACAGTTGATGACCCAATATTAGTAGATCATTAAGTTCATTGTTTACATTGGAGTTGGATTTTGTGTTGTATATTCTCTGGATTTTGAAAAATATCTTATGACTTGTACCCCTATTTTTGTATCATAGAGAATGATTTCACTGCCCTGGAAATCAGGTGTGTTCCACCTATCTATCCCTCTCTCTCAACGCCTTTAAGTCTTTTGCAATCACGAATCTTTTTATAGTCTCCATATTTTGCCTTTTCCAGAATGTGGTATTGTTGGAATCATACAGTAAAGAAAACCTTTTCAGATTAGCTCCTTCCATTTACTGATAAAGTTTAAAATTCTCCTGTATGGCTATACCAAGTTATTTATGTATTTTCCAGTTCAAGGATATTTTTGAACTTATATTGCTTCTAAGTTTTAGCAGTTGTTAATGAAGCTGAAATAAATATTTGTGTACAGGTTTTTGTGTGGATATAAGTCTTCATATCATTGTGTAAATGAAAAGGAGCATGAATGCCGGATTAAGATACGGTAAGAGTGTGTTTAGTTTTGTAAGAAATTGCCAGCTTTCAAAGTGGCTGTCCCATTTTGCATTCTCACTAGCAATGAGTGAAAGTGTCTGTTGTTTTAGTCTTGTTTTCTTTTTAGTCTGTTTTCCACGTTGCTGCCAGTCCATGGTAAAATTGATTTTTCTAAGATGCAGTTATGATGTCATGTTCATTTAAACTTATCTAAATGAACAAAATAAAATTTAACAGCTATGTCAGCATTTAGTGTTACCAGTATTCTGACTCTGGCCATTGTGATAGATGTGGAATGGGATGTTATTTTTTAATTTGCTGCTCCCCTATTGTCTTAGTCGCTTTCTTCTCATGGGACACAATATGCAACACTCACAAAATGAAGGGGGATTTATTTTGGCTTATGTTTTGAGTTCATAGTTTGCTGGCTCCCAGTCAGAAATGTGTGGCAGGAGGGGCTCAGTGAAGGCCAAGTGGCTCACTTGATGGCAGCCCAGAAGCAGAGAAAGAAGGGAAGAGCTGAAGGGCGACATACCCTCCAGGCCACACCCACAGTCCCCGTTTCTTCTGTCCAGACCCCACCTCCTAATATGTCAACCATAATGCTCCACAGTTCAGTCCCCTTCCGAAATGCCTGCCTACGAATGCATCAGGTGTTGGAAGAACATCTCGACATAAATTATAACAGTAAAGATGCTTAGCATCTTATTATATGCTGATTCTATACTTTCTTTGATGAGATAAATTTGGACCATTTTTTAATTCAGCTGTTCATTTTTGTATTGCAAAAATTAATTAACTTTTTTTTTTTTTTTTTTTTTTTTGGGGGAACTGGGGATTGAACTCAGGCCCTTGCACTTGCCAGGGAAGCGCTTATTCCACTGAGCCATCTCCCCGGCCCCTAATTAACTTATTTATTTTACAGTACCAGGGATTGAACTCAGGACCTTGTGCTTGCCAGGCAAGTGCTTATTCTGCTGAGCTATCTCCCCAGCCCCTGTATTGCAAACATTTGAAGGTTCTTTATATCTTTGTATCCTTTTGTTTGTTTGAGACAGAGTCTCACTATGTAGTTTCAGGCTTGATTTGAACTCACTATGTAGCCCAGGCTGGTCTTGAACTCATGCTGCCAATCCTCCTGTGTCAGCCTCCCAACTGCTGAGATTATAGTCTTGTGCCATCGCACTCATCTTTGTATCCTTTGTCAAAAAATTGTCTCCTAGTCTGTTGATTGTCTTTTTGTTTTTATTTCTTCCAGTTTTGGGAATTGAGCTCAGAGTCTTGTACTTGCTAGACATTCCTCTTTTTTTTTTTTTTAAAAAATTTTGAGACAGCATCTCACTGAATTGCATATGCTGGCCTTAAGTCTACGATCTTCCTGTGTCAGCCTTCCAGGTAGCTAGGATTATAGGCATGTCACCATGTTCAGCTTGCCTTCTTCTTTTCTAACAGTGTCTTTCACAGAACAGAGCATTTTAATTGAATTAACATTAAAATTTTTTGAGACAAGGTCTTTGTAGTTCAGGCTGGGTTTAAACTCACTATGTAGTTCAGGCTGGCTTCAAACTCACAGTGATCCTTCTGCCTCATAGATATGTGTCACCATGCCTGACAAAATTTTAATTTTATTTATTTATTTTTTTGCGGAACCGGGGATTGAACTCAGGCCCTTGTGCTTGCCAGGGAAGTGCTTATTCCACTGAGCCGTCTCCCCGGCCCCAAAATTTTAATTTTAATGAAGTCTATGTTACCAGTTTTTTATTCCATTTCCTGATTGATTTTGGTGTTGCAAAAAATCAGCACCAAGCCCAAGGTCACAGATTTTTCTCATATGTGATCTTTTTTTTGAAGTTTTATAGTTTATGTTTTACTTATAGTTATAATTCATTTTGAGCTTAATTTTTCTGAAGGGTCAGTATTTTGATTTAGTTTTTGTATGTGAATCTCCAGTTGTTCCGATAGCATCTTTGTTGAAAAGATTTTCTTTTCTAAATTGAATTGCTTTTGTATATTGTATTTTTAAGGATCTTTTTGACTTCTGTGACTGGATAGAGTCAGGTGTGGTGGGACATGCCTATCCAGCACTTGGGATGTTGAGGCAGGATGATCACCTCAAGTTAAAGGCCAGCCTGGGATACATAGTGAATCCAAGGCTAGCCTGAGCTACATAGTAAAACCCTGTCTCAAAAAAACAAAACAAAGCTCCAAAACAACACCATGACAGGATAGATGGTAATGCTACTAAGATTGAGAATACAAACGGAATAGGTATGGACTAAATAGTGAATTCATTTTAAACCAGCTCACTGGTTTAAATATCTCTGACATTCAAGTGTTAATCAAAGAAGGAAAACCTTTACCTAGATTTTAGGAATGTAAGAAAATGAATGATCATTTAGTTAAATGACATCCATGTATATATGAAGTGATATGTTATATAGTGCCATAAAATACCATATATAGTGTGTATATAGTCATGCATGTAGGCTAGGTGCCCAGTCAGTGTTAACACCTGCCTGGCTTCTCTTTGTTCAAAGTTTTTACTACTGCAAGAAAAGGCTGCTCTGAAATCACGAGACAGTCTTCTGAGTGGTTTTATTGATGCCATTGAAGTACAAATCAACTCTGCTGTGGTCTAGACATAGTCCCTAGCACTTTCTTATCAGTATCAGTATCTTTTTCCATATCAAATGCTATTTGAGGCTTAGAGATTATGACTTCAGGACAGTTTTTGGAGAGTAATTTGTTTTACCCTCTTCCAGTCCAGAAGGCAAGGTGAAGGAGACAATGCACAATGACTTTTGGGACCATCTTAGAGAGCAGCTGTCAGCTACTCCTCCTGACTTCAGTTGTGCTCTTGACCTTTTGAATGATATGAAAGAGGTGAGTGGCTTCCATTGCTAGGCAGTTGTTGACATCCCCAGCTTTTGGAGGAACAAGAGTGAGCAAATCCTAAATGAGCATGCTCCTGAAGTAAAAGTCACACGGTAAATTGAGCAAGCAAGGTTTAATATAAAATTATTAGAGCAGTGAATTAGAGAAATAAGGGTGTGGTTAATAAGTGAGAAGGACTTTACAGAATCTGGAATAGCAAATATACTGGATTGTCCATCGTATTCATGGGATTGTGACAAAATGCTCAGGGAGCTCACTTGAGGCACAGCTGTGCCTGAGGAAGTGATGGGCTGCATGTGCTGCTCATCACCATTCACTATAGACACTGAGGACAGTGCACATACCAGGACCAGGTCTTGCCTTTGCAGTGCCACTCTGGTTAATCTACTCATCTGTATAATCTGGCCATGCGAGTGAACAAGATCAATAGCTGCTTTCTAACAAATCGAACATGGTGGAGGTGATGGGATTTATACCCATGATTACATTTTCTGTTACAGCTGACTACAGGGAGAGAGTCTCTTGCTAACGCTGAATTACATAGCAAAGGGCTATGCTGTGAGCTGTGGAGAGGGAACTGCACATGGCCTCTAGATTGGGGGGTGGGGGATAGGGGGTGGGAGTTGCAGCATGCAGCCAGTAGTCAGAACTCTCTGAATGAGCTTGGACAGTCTTTTCCAGTCAGGCTTCCACAGGAGAGAGCAGCCTGCCTACCAGTTTGACTTCCCCCCTGAGAGCTTCAGGGAAGATGTAGCACAGGTGTTCCTGGACTGTTGGCCCACAGAACGGCAAGGAAAAAGCAATGTTGAAGTTTGTGGTCTGTCAGTAGGTTGTATAGCACAGAACAGCACTCCATTTTAAACAGCACCCTCTGCAGGTCAAGATGGAAATTGTGCCACCTTATAAGGGAAATGTTAAAGGATTTCGCTTCACTTTCACAGCAGAGAAAAGAATGCTTTGGAGCTGACAAGTAATATAAGTGGTGTGGGAATTTGGCCAGCCCTGTGGATACTCAGCTTCTAGAAACACCACTACACACATCTGAATTCCTGAACCCATTGGGTCCGAGGGTGTAGCTCAGTGATAGAGTGGGTATTTAGTATGCTGAAGGTCCTGGGTTCAGTCCCCAGTGCCCCCTCCCCACCAAAAAGAAAAAGAAAAAAAATGAACAAATATATGCCTTACAATTTCTCTATTTCTTGTTCTTCTCCAAAATGAGGAAACATGGCCAAATTTAGTAACAGGCTCAGTGAATATTCTTTTTTTTTTTTTTTTTTTTCGGTACTGGGGATTGAATTCCAGACCCTGTGCTTGCCAGGCAAGCGCTTATTCCATTGAGCTATCTCCTTGAGCCTCAGTGAATATTCTGTTACTTAAATAGCTAAAGTGTATAGTTAATGTCCGACAATCCATGTATAAAGTAATGGGGAAGAAGAAGAAGGACAAAATAGGATATACAAATAGACATACCTATAACTAGCAAGAAGAAATGTTAACCCTTGTTTCTCTTAACTGGCCTCAGGGCTAAACTTAGTACCTATGACTGCTTCTGTTTGCCATTCTGCCAGCCTTGAGTTCTTCTGATTTAGGAGAAATCCTTGCATTGGTTCTAATGAATTAAAATGTGAAACTGCCACCTGGCCACTGTGAGCTCCTTGTACCACGGAGCCAGGAGGTAAGATATAAGTTCTATTAGGTAACACCAATCTTGTTTCTTCTTGGTACTACCTAATGGGGACAAGGATTACACCTACAGCCCAGGATATCTCTGAATTGCCTCTTAATACTCAACCCCAATAATATGGAAACCAGAGCAAAAAAAAAAAAAAAAAAAAAAGGCAGAATACTTGAGAACTCATAGCTCTCAAATGGAAACCTGAGTCACTCCACCAGATACAGAACTTCAGCCAGCTGAGGGAACATGGATTGAATAGTGGCGGAAGCAGCCATACTCTTCATAACTCCTGTAAGTGGAATCAAATGATATTGTCCTTTGTATTGGTCTTACTTTGGTTCACACAATATTTTTAAGGTTCATCCATCTGGATTGTAGCATTTATCAGAATCTTGGTCTTTTTTTACAGCTGAGTAATATCCCATAATGTGGAATAGACCACATTTTACTGATTCATCACTTTGTGGACATTCATGTTGTTTCTACCTTTTGGCTATTATAAGTAATGCTGCTGTGAACAATGGTATGGAAGTATCTGTTTGAATACCTGCTTCAGTTCTTCTTCGTGTGTACTTAGAAATCTTGGATTAAAATAATTCTTTTTTGTTTTTTTACTAATAAAAAATTGTGTTTACTTAGAAGCATTCAGAATGTCAACAAAACAGTTGCAACTTTTTATTGCAATTACAGGAGTGGTATTCAGTTAACAGAGCAACAATTATTTCATATAAGCTGCATCAGAGACAACTGAAGATGAAAAACTACCATCCCCATATATAACTAATTTGTATTGTGCACCAGCAAGAACCTGCTTTAAATTTCCATGACAATTTACAGCCCCTATACTGTACCAGGCAAATGAAAATATTGAAAATACCACCAGGACAGGGCTGTCTAAAGACACATTCGGTAGTGTGTTAACTATACAAAAAAAGACACTGTACAGTTTAAAAACAAATCTTACACAGCCTTACATTTCAATTTTTTTTCCTTCAAAAGGAGTGAGTTATGTACAGGAGGTTAAATGCTTTATAGACAAGAAAAAAAAAACTGTGCTAGAACCAACTTATTCATCATCCTCTTCTTCATCCTCCTCATCCTCTTCATCTTCTTCCTTCTCTTCATCCTCATCTTCCTCCTCCTCCTCCTCTTCCTTCTTTTTCTTGCTTCTTTTAGCCTTGACAACTCCCTTTTTTGTTGCATCAGGTTTTCCTTTAGCCCGGTAGGCAGCGATGTCCTTTTCATACTTCTCCTTCAGCTTAGCAGCCTTCCTCTCATATGGCTGCTTATCATCTGCTGCAGTATTATTGCACATTTCTCCAAGTTTCTTTGCAACATCACCAATGGAGAGGCCAGGATGTTCTCCTTTGATTTTTGGGCAATACTCAGAACAGGACAAGAAGAAAGCCGAAAGAGGCCTCTTGGGCACATTGGGATCCTTGAACTTCTTTTTTGTTTCTCCTTTAGGAGGAATGTAAGTTTTCGTTTCTCTTTCATAACGAGCCTTGTCTGCTTTTGCCATATCTTCAGATTTTCCTTTTTCTTTAGCAGACATGGTCTTCCACGTCTCTGAGCAATTCTTAGAAAACTGAGAAGTTAACGGAAGCATCTAGCTGCAGCTTCTTGTGCTCCTCTCGGCAAGTTTGCGCAAAGAATGCATATGATGACATTTTGCCTCTTGGCTTCTTAGGTTCTCCTTTGTCTATGTTTACTTGTCTTCCTTAGCGAGTCACCCAGTGCCCGTCTGGCTCTTACTTGCCCCGGCGCTATCCTTATGGAGCTCAATGTCGATAATTCTTTTTTGTATGGGGTTTTGGACAGAGTACTGAGTTTCCCAGATGGGACTCAGATTTGTGATGCTCCTGCCTCATCCTTCCTCAGCGCCAGTATTACAGGTGTGCCCCACCATGGATGAAGACACATAGTTAACATTTTGAGGAATTGCCAAACTGTTTCCCATAGCGGCTGTGTCATTTTACGTTTTCATCAGCAGTGTGGGGTGGTTCCACTTTCTCTATGTCTTGCCAAATGCTATTTTCCCCTCCCCTTCCTCTCTTCTTCCCTGCTATTTTAATGGTGTTAAGTGGTATCTTACTGTGGTCTTGACTTGGATTTCTTTAATGGTGAAAGGTGTTAAGCATCTACTCATAATGTTTTCTGGCCATTTAAAAAAATCTCCTTGAAATGTTTACTGAAATTCTTTGCCCATCTTTAACTAAAGCTGTCATTTTGTTGAGTCTTTTGCCCATCCTTAGGACTGTTTATCTTTTTGTCATTGAATTGGAAATCCAACATAATATTATTAGCTAAGCTTTGTGAAAGGCTACACATCACAGATTAGTGATCTTACCAGTAGTCTAATCTGATCTGTCATCACTATTTTCAAAACTGAAGGTTTGTACCTATTGGAATGTGTAATACAAATATTTTGCCTATAATTTCTAATGGATGCTCATTCAGGCAATGACAGACTAAAAATTAGTGTTAAGGGTCCTACAGTTACAAAACTGTGTGTGTTTGCTTAAATCCCTTTATTTCTATTCCATCCTTTAGCTGAATTTTGCTATATATTGTCTGCCCTTCTTATATCCTCCTCTCTCATGAAAGGCATCACAATCCTGTCCCTCCACCATACCTGGGGAGACAGCTTGGCAGTCTAAGCACCTGCCTGGCAAGCACAAGGACCCAGTTTGATCCCGAGTACCGCATGCCGCCCGTTCCCCACCTCCAGTCATGAGCTGTTAACAAGACATCTTTCTAGATTCTTCAGGGATTGATCTCTTCTTCATTAGAGTTCTCTGTTGCAGTTCCATTTCTTCCTAAGTGTGTCATGTGAAATTTTAATTGCTTTGCCACTGTTTTTTTTTTCAGTCATTAGCAACAGCTCCAAATCTGTTTGCTTTTGCAGTTTTTGTATCATCATAATTTTATTCAGAATAGCATAAATGTAGCTCTTAGTCTCTTTCTGTTCAACAGCAGCTGGTTTAAAACATGCATACAGAATTTGATTTCGAGACTTTATTACTGACAGTTCCTTTCAGCGTGTAATGGGACTTTGCTTGCTTGCTGAATCAGGATCATTAGTCTTGATTTCATATTCTAATCTGTACTGAATGTTGTCCAGAACAAAGTAAGCCTTCTGGAACAGAGCCAGATGTGGTGGCACACACCTGTAACTGCAGCATTCACAAAGCTGAGGCAGAAGGCCACTAAGTCCCAGACCAGGCTGTGCTGTGAGATCTAGGCCAGCCTGGGCTACATAGTAAGACCTTTCTTTTAAATAGTGCAGTTCAGCTGTTTAGCTGGGTTAAGT